CCGGCGTGCGTTGCGGAGCCGGACACGCGTGTGGGTGAGGAGGGTGCGGCTGAGGCGCGAGCGGCACTGCTGAGTCTGGCGTTGGGCAAGAACATCATGATTGAACCGTGTTCGGCGACTCCGGGGGCGGAGGTTACGACGGAGAAGTTGTCTTCGGCGGAGAATGGGGGTTGCGAAAAATGGGTAACGGCGAAGACGTCAGAAGGCGAGGACTTGAGCTTGCTGATGTTGCGGGGCGGGTACGTGGTGGTGGACGCGGCGACTGCGCCTGCAGCGAGGTTGGAGGAGTACCTTAGAGTGCCAGCGACGCGGCCGCCATGTGGTCCGGCGATAAAAGCGGTGAACTACGACGCGTCAGTGTTGGAAGAGAGTCGGACGGATCAATTGTGTGTGGTGGAGAAGGTGCTGTCAGGGACGGAGGTAGAATGTTTCGTGCCAAGTGCACAGACTTATTTGCGTTTAGGTCTGGCGGGATTGGAGGCTGCACGAGAGGAAGAGTGTGTGGAATTGTTAACGATGCGTGTGCTAGGTCGTCAGTTTAACTTGCGGTTAGTCGGTACGGTAGACGGACGCATTTATGGGGCCCTGTCCTTCCCCGAAGGTGGCCTGGTGGTCCGTACGGTGTTGGAGGTCGGATTGGGTAGGTTGCACGAGAGTTCGGCTCAGCGGTTGCGAATGGCCCAGCGTGCGGCACTTCAAAACGCCGTGGCGGAGGCCAAGAAGCTAAAAGTCGGTATCTGGCAGGCCACGGCAGGTGGGGAAGACGGAGCGACGACCGCAAGCAATACTCCTACGGCTCGAGACCTGGCCACGGTTGGCGAGTTTGACGCAAGACTCGCTGACGTCTTCGGCACGTCGAGCTTGTTGGTACTTGAGGGGAACCCGCAGACCGGTGTAATCACCCCATTCTCACCCCACCGTGCTGTCTACCTGTCCCACCTCCGCGGTCGTGCCGCCGGATGGCTAACACCTGCACGCGAGGCGATAAAAGAGATCTGCGGCACACGAAAACTTCGCATCAAAATCGACTACATGCGTTGCGCACAAAACGTTGACAACCCACCGAGGCCCTCCGATGACTACGGTCGCCTCCACTATGCCACCGTCATTGTACAAGAGCCTGGTACAAAGACGTGTCTAAATAAGGAACTACTCCGGCGGGGCTTCGCCCGCCTAGATCGACTCCAAAACGGAGCCGTGAAGACGTCATTGTATGAGGAAATGGAGCAACTCAGTCGCGACTCCACCCCCAATAACCAACCAGCGCCGAAGTTCAACGACTACATTGGTCCAGCTAATACAAGGCGCGCGCGACAGCTGTATAACTCACTTCGGAACGAATCCTGTCTTCGTATTTTCGTCGAGCGCGTGGTCACAGGCACCCGATACCGTGCCTACGTGCCCGGTTACGCGGCCATGATCTCTGTCTCCCTCTCCGGTGTCACGGCGCCGCAAGTGGCTAGACGAAATGTAGGTTTCGAAGATCCAGAAGATAAGCCGGCTGATGAACCGTTTGCGAACGAATCAATAGCCTGGGCCGAGCTGAACGTCAATTACCGTCCCTTCATGGCTCAATTTGTCAATTGTGACATGGGCGGTACCTTCTCGTCCATCCTCACACCGCCTGGAGCAAAAAAAGAAGGCACTAAAACCTCACTGTCCAGTGTCGACCTCGCCATCTCCGGCACTCCGCTTCAAGAAACCATGCTCCGTGAAGGTTACGCCATGGTCTTCGACCGCTTCCCAGGTCCCCACGCGGAGGAGTATTACAAGTTGGAGGAACGTGCCATCAGTGAGAAAAAAGGCATCTGGAGCTTGGAGGAGAATGTCATATACTTTGGTCGCAAAGAAGATGCCACCAAGACGACCGACGTCCTCGGCAACTGGGGAGACGTGTCCATTTCGCACTGCGAAAGCAGCAGCGAGGTTTATGTCCAGAAACACTCCCGCACCAACGACTTGCTGGACATTCAACGGACCATTGCCCGCGAGGCTGTGGCCACCTATAGCACCCAAAGCAAGACCGAACTCCCCGCGAAAAACAGCATTATTCTTGCCAAATTCGAAGGCGAGTGGTACCGCGCACGCGTGCTAAATGTCAAGTCAGGTCTAGGCAGCATCGAAGTCTTTTTCTTGGACTACGGCAACACCGCGGAAATCACGTCTTTAGACGACATCGCTGTCCTACCCACTGCCGTCAACGTCATTGCCTACCCACCTCTGGCCAGTCGCGTTGGTCTCGCCTATATAAAGAACCCTAGTATCGACCCAGGTAGTCTGGACAATGCTTGCGACGTGATTATGGAATTTGGCGAAGAACAAACCTGCCAGTGCGAATGCGTGGGGACTCTGGACACTGTTCCCCAAGTTCTGGCTACAGGAACGGCGCCTTAATTCACGATCGCATTCTGGAACTCGGCTTCGCCAAGCTGCAGCCTCGGTATAGCACACGAAAAAGCCAGACCACGCCGCTGCTGAAACGCTTAGGCGAAATAGAAGCTGAAGCACGCGAAGCACGTATCGGGATCTGGGTTCACGGCGACGTCGGTGACACTGATGACGAACTCTAGGTTATTGTCACCTATTTTTTTCTGCGACCATTGTTTGTGGCCAAAGATCTTAACCGGGGAATCGCACCAAAGATCTTTGGGCTTACTTAAAGTCAGGTAGCGGTAATGTCGGATTCTTCTTCGGCGCCAAATGAGCAGAAGGTTATGCTGGAATTCCATCGGACGGTCTTGTCATTATGGAGCGACTTGATATTAAGGTATTATATGGGAGCCGAAATGAAGAAAGGACTCATATTCCAGGCAGACGGATCCGCGTCTTGCCTAACCATGAGGGCTCTGGATGGGATGGGATGTGACCTACTCAATATCTCATGTGAGAATCCCGCAGGAACCAGTCAAGACCCGGTTTGCGAGCTCAATTTCGAATCGGCATGCCACTGTCCTACAATGATGAAACCTTTCCTCACCAAATATCTCAGAGTGCCCCCCATATATAGTTGCAGTACCAGACTAGTTACTCCCAGACTGTTAATCAAGACCATTCTCGACAGCGGGTACGACCTACAAGATGACTTCCAAACATTTATGCAAGATTTCAATCTCAATGAACTTGAAGTCGTCAATCCACTACTCATACGACCTGAAAACTATGTCGCTCCAAGATACCATATATCACTACTGGATCTGTTGGGACTAACCAACACCAATCCGGCGGTTCTAGCGGTTCAAATACCAGTTGGTCAATGCACTCTCAATACATATTTCTTCACGTACGTACATATGTTAATTGACCCACACACTTCATCTGTCCTAACCGATCTTACCCGTCAGGCTCCCCTCCCAGCCCTCAGGCTCCCCTCCCCTCTCCTCTCCTCTCCTCTCCTCCCCAAACTGCTTCCGTTCTCTGCAAATGCTCTCCAGGTTCCTCGTTATTTTTGCACTGGTCGCTGGATTCCTAATATACTATCCAGTACGTTTCTGGAACATCCGACGGAGGCGAATGAAGCGAGACTGAGTCCCAGACCCGGAGTACGTGAACGGAACGGGCTGCCGTCCTGGTCGGTAGTCCGCTATTCGCCTGACGCCTTTATAGACGGCGCAGCACACACACGTGTGCTAGGGGGATACTTGGGGGACGCATTTGGGAGAAATGCGTCTCGGGGGTTATCCAGGGTTTTTGGCGATATTAGATAGATGTTAAATAGGGGAGATACGTTTACCGCTGCCGAAGCTGAGCCGGTGAACATCGAGGTGAAGAAGCTCAAGGGGGCGGTTTTGGTCCATGAGCATTATACTGTGATTCCCTCGACTCACTTGTTTCTTCTACGCCACCACGAGTTTGTGACGGATCGAGCGAGGTTGCACAAAATCCTTTTGTCGAATGAGAAGTTTAGTCCCGTGTTGAACGGCGGGGACCGGTTGGTTAGTGGAGAGCGTCAAGTGGCTGGCGTAGAGCGTCAAGTGGTTGGCGTAGAGCGTCAAGTGGTTGGCGTAGAGCGGCAAGTGGTTGGCGTAGAGCGGCAAGTGGTCGGTGGAGAGCGGCAAGTGGTTGGTGGAGAGCGGCAAGTGGTTGGTGGAGAGCGACAGACGAGTGGTAGCAGTCGTCAAGTGAGCAGCAGCCGGCGAGTAAGCGGAGGAAGTCGGCAAGTGAGTGGTGGAAGTCGGCAAGTGAGTGGTGGAAGCCGACAGGTGAGTGGAGATCGGCAAATAAGTGGGAATATATACGATCCGGATGCCACGTTGCTCATCCAGTTTGAGGACGACTTGGCTAGTTTATCTAGCAGCGCCACGGAGTCTACGTCCGTATACGACCAGAGAGTGTTATGGGCCGTTACCACGGATCGGCAGGCGGAGGGCGTGGGTGGCTACGAGTCCGTCAGTAGAAGGCACTGGGAGGACAGTGGAACAACGGAGCAGATTAAGCTCAGTATGATGCGGCCCATTCCTTTGGGGTATCTCGCTCCGCTCTCCCCCGCGTCTGTCCGAGTCTCGGTCGCAGTTGCGGTGCAAATTGCGCGGGCTTTGGACAAGTATTTGAGATACGGCGGATTCTGGAAAGGCACTTACTCAGCAGTTCAGGTTAAGTGGCCCAACGACCTGGTTTGCTGTAACTCCACCCATGTGCCACCTGGTCGGGTTTCCCGTCCGCGAGGTCTGCTCTCCTCCACTTCCTCCCTACCTGCCGCTAATGCGCCAGGACCAGGACCGGGTGCTTCCGGTTCTGGTTCGAGTCCCGCAACCAGTTCTGGTTCGAGTCCCGCAACCAGTTCTGGTTCTGGTTGCCAGGGCCGACTAATTGAGACCTATAAGAAACTCGGTGGCGTCATTGCCGACCCCGTGCCTTACGGCACCTCCTCGCTCGTCATTGACCCCTCGAATGAGCTCCACACGGTCTCCCTCATGGACAAAACCATGGACACACGCGCCCAGGCCTACGAATGCTACATGTGCATCTCAACCGGACTCAATGTCAACTCTGTCCCGGAAGGGCTACGGTCCATCGCCTGCTGCTTGAAGGATTTAACTTCCGTCCCTCTAGACCTGCAGGAGATACAAAACGCCGTCGTGGCTGCTCTAGTCGAACCCATGAACCTCGCCGACCTCCAATCTTGGGCTGAGACACAAAAGGCGTGGGCTTTCAAAAATCGAAGAATTACTTGTTACGACGAAAAACACTCCATTATTGACCAAGGCCTACTACTCAATATCGATCTCTGTGCAGGCCAACTAGTACTAGATCATGGCGTGGTTCAACCTAGATCCGTCGCCATTATAGACTGATTGACGCCCAAAGACAAGTCGACGCCCAAAGACAAGTCGACGCCCAAAGACAAGTCGACGCCCAAAGACAAGTCGACGCCCAAAGACAAGTCGACGCCCAAAGACAAGTCGACGCCCAAAGACAAGTCGACGCCCAAAGACAAGTCGACGCCCAAAGACAAGTCGACGCCCAAGACAAGTCGACGCCCAAGACAAGTCGACGCCCCATCCTAACTTAGATCCATGACAACTGAATACCTATGTCCGATTGGACATTATAGATGGGACATTATAGATCGCAAGCTGCTGATGCCTGATCCCTACCTTGACCCGAGCTTTCCAAGTTTGACTTTCATGTTCACCAATTTTTTAGAAAGCCAATCTACCTTCAAGACTTTCGCCTGTGGCCCGTTCGATGGTGAGAGTCATAGCACGTGCAAAGGCATTGACTTCGGGGTCTGCGTTATCGAGCATGTGGACGACGAGTTTGAGGGTATCATTGAGTACTGGGAGCAGCGCGACGCCGAGGGTTGCCCAGGCCTGGTGTAGCACACGTGCAACAGCCAGTTTGACGCGGGGGTCTTCCGAGTCCAGTAGCTTTTCCAGCAGTCGGTCGTATGCCACCCCGAGCACAGACGTGTCCTGACTGGCCACCCCGAGCGTCTCGATGATTGCGAAACGCAGGTGCAGCAGCCAGGCTTTGGCCGTCTCCACGTCTTCGCTTTCCGGGTATACGCCAATATAAGAGCCCGTGGCCGCGAACCGGTCGAAGTGTCGGAAGACATCAAAGGCGCGCGCGAACTCGTCCATCAAACTGGTGCTAACGGCAAACGGCTGCGACGCCATACCAGATACCAACTCACGTGACTCATTCAACGCGCGACAACAGTCGCCCAAACACATCAACGCAGGCACGCCCACTTCCAACCAGTACCAGGACCGTGAAGTAGACTGCGAAGTAAGCTGCGATAGGGACTTACTTGCAATCTCCTGCCTTGTGCCTCGTCGTTTTTTCTTGGGACTGCTTCCCTGAGATGTTCCCGTTTTGAAGCACTCGACAACGTTAGCATTGCAGCGTCGGAGGATGCTGAGCATGTCGTCTTCCGCTTGCCAAATGCTACCACCTATCACCAAAGCGCCGCCGGTTTTAGCGGCGGTGCTGTAGATTAGGCAGAAGAGTCGCGCGATAAATAAGGTTTTGGGCGTTACCGTCTCACCGCCGTCCAATCGCGACCCGAGACAAGCGTCTGCGCCGCAACGCGCGGCCGTGAGCACCGTGGCCATGGCCTTGCCGATGGCCGTGGGTCCTAGTTTGAGCAGTAGCCGCGAGAAGAGGTAACAAACCGCGTCCTCTACCTGCGCCAAACGCGTGTGCGCTGCCAACGCGCTTACGTCCTGGTGGTCTGTAGCCGCCAGCCGCTCGTCCACGCGCTTGATCGTGGCCAGCTCCAAGGTGTCATTTAGGTCCGTCTCCTCGGGCATCCGCAAGTTCCCAAATAACGTCGGGTGCGCCTCCATCAACTTCCCACCATACACTTCGGCCACCTGAGCCTCCAGACTTGCTCGGCCGCGTCGCTTTCGCTTTCGGTCCTCGTCACTTCCATCCCGCTGCCCCTTCCTCGCGTCCGCGTCTCCCGAGTCCACGTCTTGTTCCAGACGGGACTCGAAGACGGAACCGAGGAAGCCACAGGTCAGGGCAACTAGGTTAGTGAGCGCATCCTGGAAGGGCGCAAGTTCATCGGGTTTGCAGCGCGAAATGACAAAGGCCAGCGAACAGAGAGTATTTACGGTTTCGCACTCACCCTCCTCATCACCTTCTTGGAGTTGTGTGAGCGAGCGTTTAAGCTGCGTCGCTGCACCACGAACAATCACGTCCAACTGGCCCTGGCTCGTCAAATGAGCAATTGCGACTGCAAATACCTCCAGCACGTCGGCGTCTCCAGCGGCGGCTTCGCCGCCTGTCGTGATCAAGGCTCCACCTCGCGCACCGAAACGCTCAACCAGCCTACGACCCAGTTGCCGCCGCACGCGCACCAACTGCTTCCGAAATTCTTCTGACTGCCGTGCACCGATCGTTTGCTGCACTCCTTCCCAGAACCCGCGTACGGAACTCACACTCCGTCCGGCTGCGTGCTGCAAAGTCATTAAGTGCTGCGGACACCACAAGACCGCCTGTAACAACTGGTCACTTCCGGATTGGACGCTGCCACCCTCCCCCGGGACGGGGACGCCAGCCTCTAACAGGGTGGGGCCCACGCCGCAGATGAGGGCGAGCACGACCTCCCAAGGCGAGTGACGTCGGGAATTCGCGAGTTGTTGTGCACGCACGTGCGGCAGGGCATCCAGGACATGATCGCGGAGGTGTTGTGTGATGTGCTCGATATAAGGCAGGAGTAGCGAGCCATCCAGCGCGAGCGAAGTGAGGGCCAGTGGCAGCGATAGCGGCAGGCGGGAGGGCAATTGGGCGAGGAATGGCAGCCAGTCGGAGAGTAGGACGGACGTGAAGGGGCTGCAGACGACCAGTAGTGTCAGGAACACAAGCGTATCCATGGCCGCCGTGTCCAAGGCCACCGCGTCTTCGGCCACCGCGTCTTCGGCCACCGCGTCTTCGGCCACCGCGTCTTCGGCCACCGCGTCTTCGGCCGCCGCGTCTTCGGCTCCAGATAAACTGGTATGAATAATAACCTTACCTTCGGCCAGAATGCGTTGGCAATACTCCTCGCCCTTATCACTGAGCAGTGTCCGGAATTGTGAATTGTACACCGTCGATTGTGGATATACGAAGTCCGGTACACCTTCTAGCATTGTGCTCGTCAAGAGCGATACCCAGGAAGTAATGAATGCTGAGTACAGCTTCGCATCTGCACGCGCGCGTGCGTGTTCATACACACTCAGTGGGAACCCGAACGGCGGCAAGTCCTGGAAATCACGCTTCATCGCGCGGTCCACAAACTGAAGCCATAATGTCAACTCTGCCGCTCGACCCGACCGCCGCGTTAATAACAAAGATGGCCGGAATCTGGCCACGACCAGGCACAAATAATCATCCGATACGCCCGGTCGTACCGCGTTCTTTAACACTGCAATGTTGCCCAACACTCCGCAAAGCGACAGACTCTCGTGCACCACTGCCTCCGCACTCGTCGCCAAACGTCCCTCCGCAACCGACTTGAGCCGATCTACCGTACCCATCGCCGGGTCCAGCAACACTCGCTGACCCAGATCTGTCCAGCTTTGCTTCTCTTCTTGCAAAGCTAAACGTTCCTCCATACCTTCCTCCATTCGTTCCTCTTCCGCTCGTACTTCTTCGAGCTCCTCCACTTCTTCGCAAAGAATACTCGTAACCGTGTCTAGACAGCTGCCGATGGCGCCCAGGGTCTGTTTAGCGGCGGCGACGAGTGCTTGACAGAAACGGCGTTGGTCGATGATGCCGAGGTCACTTTCGGGTTCGATGTTGATGAGGTTGATGTATTGTTGGAGGAGCGCACGTAGTACGAGAGCGACAAGCTGTTCCCGTTTTTCGTCAGTAGTCATGCTCGCCAAAGCGGCGACTATACGGGAAATAGCTGCGACGTTGGGAGCGAATTCGAGACTGAGTAGGCGCTCCTCTTCGGAAGCGAAGAGGGCGGCTTCGTCCTCAGCCATTGCGCTCATGTCGACTCCGCCACCGGCATGCCATTCGTTGCGCACACGTGTGCGATACTCGTTGCTGGGTGCACTGAGTGCCTGTAGCGCCCATTGTTCACCGCGCTTCTGCACACAAAGGTCCACCAACGTCCGCCACGTCGCACTAGAGGTAGAGACAGGGCCTAGCAACCGTTCGCCAAACTGGCGCACAGCGCTCGCACACGCGTGTGTCAAAAAGTCCGGAGAACTCGTTGTCCGCTGAACCACCGCTGAAGCCAACATACGTACACTAGCCATCGGTAGCTGCGCCGCCAAATATCCGAGAAACAACCACTGCTGCACATTCGCGTCTTCACTCGCACGCACGTGCTCCAACGCAAATTGGACCACGGGAATTGGTTGCTGCGACCTATCCACCAAAACCAACTCTACGTCCGGCACCTGCAACGCCGCCGCCAGGAATGAAACGATCAACGACATACGCGGGAAGGCTGCGCTCTCCACCACCCTCGAAGCCTGCAACAGTAACCGCTTCGCCAGCGACTGCCGAAGAGTGGCCGCCTCGGCCCCCAGTGCGACTAACGCTGCGATCGCAAATTCCACGTACAAGGCGTTCGACTCGGTCCATAACGAACGGGACTCTCTTGTGGACTTGGACTGGGACTTGTTGGACTTGGAATTGGACTGGGACTTGGTCTTCTTGCCCTTGCCTGCTGGCGAGGCTGCCACCGCCTCCTCGCCAGCCGTCCCTTCGCCAGCCGTCCCTTCGCCGGCCGCCTCTTCGCCCCAAACGAGTTGCTTGAGGAGCGGGCGGCCGAGAGCGACGTGGCAAAAGGAGACAACGAACTCCTTGATTTGCGGCGCCACGCTTAAAGACTGGCCGCCGCTGAGTTCGCCGCCGCTGGCGACGCCGCCACCGGCGACGACGCGTGTGTGCTCGGAGCACATGTGTGCGTGCAATGCGTCCAATTCGGCTTGCATAACGCGCGGGTCGCCGCAGACGTCGCCATCCTGTGCCACCAGCCAGTTGCCCAAGAACTTCTGGAAGGCCAAAAGACGAGGCAGGTACCGAGCCACGGCGGGACCCTGCAGGGCGCTCACAGATGCTGCTGCTTCCGCGTACATCGCCAGAACTCGAACCACCGTACCTTCGGTCACCGGAATTGCCAACACAGTCAATTCACTAAGACATCGGGCCATAACCTCCTCCACCTGCAGCCCAACTGGCTCCACCTGCAGCCCAACTGGCTCCACCTGCAGCCCAACTGGCTCCACCGAGCCAGCTGACCCCACCGAGCCAGTCAGTAACTGCGAACCAGCCTGGTGCTGAAGAGACAAGACCAAGCAGTACAACAAGGACAGAGCACCGTCTGCCGACGACAGATAGAACTCGACCGCGGCGGCGCTCACACGATCCCCGACAATCACGCCTTCAGAGCAAGTCCGCGATTGCCGACTCACTAACTGGTCCAAGGACAACTGGTCCAAGGACAACTGGTCCAGGGACGTCTCCACTCGGGCCTCACCCTTTCGAGTTTCGTCACTCTTCCGGGCTTCGTCATCCGCGAGATCGAAGGGTCCCCGAACGCCGAAGGGAGAGACCGAGGGCACTTTGACTGACTGAATCAAGGTCATCAGCTCCGGTGGTATGGTGCCAGAGGATGAGTTCCGGGCCATGTTTAGAACATTGAGCACCACATTTATCACGTGGCTATTTTTCTGTTCCGCTTGGCGCCTCAGCAGTTCCTTCAGGACGTTGGCGACGCAGCTGGCACTCTGCGATTGACTGCCCACCGCAACGAGTGTGGAGTGCGTCATCTGTTGGCCGCTTTCCGGCGAGATCAGGAGCTTCTCTTCGTAGTGCCCTTCGACATATTTTGCCACGACCCGCAACTTGGTCATGATGTCATGATAAACCGGGAGGGCGAAAGCCATTCCACTGAATTTGTCCACAACGGCAGGCAAGCCTGGCTGTTCCAGAATCCAGGCGCCAAAGGTTTTTAAGACTACCTCATCACCGAACGCCAAAAGTGGCCAGAAGCACGCGTTGTCGGTTGATTCAAGAGTGGCAACTTTTCCCTTTATCTTTGCCCCAATCAAGAGCTTGGCTGCGACGTCCAAGGGAGTGTTACGAGTCGCGAGCAAAGTCATAATCGAGCGGCTGTCGTCAGTTACAAGAGTACGCAGCACATCTCGCAGCCGGTGACCAGAGGTGTTGGCTTGCACTAGCGTGTCCATGTCCGAGACGAGGTCGTCGGCAAAGCCCACGCACCGGCCGATGACAGAGCGGAGCATGCGAAGACGGTGCGATTCAGAAAGCTTGGGACCCACCGCCACCACAATGCGTTGCAGATCGCCGACTTTGATGGTCTCAAGACCCTCAGATGCGGCAGTCAACAGTGTGTCTAGCACTTCGGCGTCTCCGTTCTCTCCTGCCGCCTTAATGACGGTTTCGGCGAGCATCGTGGACCTAACAGCCTTTCTATCGTCAACAATTGGTATGCTGTGCAGACCAAGCTCGACAAGTAATTTTCCCTTGTTGCCAATGGCCTGCAGAGCAAACGAAGCCAAAGCAGGAGCTTGGCAAGCGTTCAAAATAGTAGAAAGCGCTGCCACTTCGTCTATGTGAAATAAGTCACAAAGAAACGGCGGCAGTCCTGCGAGCAAAATGTTCTCAGGTGTGTGACAGATGGGAACAGCTTCCATCAAGCAAGAAGTGAAGACCAAAGTTTCTTCCATCATTTGCTCAACGAAGCGTTTGCGTAATAGCGATAACTCAGCAATAAAACCTCGGCCATCCTTCAGCAGCGAGGACAAGTCTAAGGCGCTTTCTTCATCCGCCTCGGCATTGGTGAGCATTAATGATCTCAGGATAATGATTAAAGTAGAAAAGTGCTCTTGAGTTGAAGTTCCGGAATCGTGTGCTCTTCGTAATTGACGCATCGCACACGAAAATATCTTTGAGATATATGGCGTCATCAACTCGGTTACTGTAGATGATAAGAAGGGCAAACCCATCTGTTCCGACTCCTCTTTGAACAGAACATATCGACTGAATTCTGAGCGGGGTAATGGCTCCTTTCTCTTAACATCATCGAACTTAATGATCTGCCGACTTAAAATCGCTCCAAAATTTTCGCTAACCCGATTCAAATCGGAATCGAATCCTTGCTGTTCAATAAGTGTGAGGAATTCATTAAGTAATTTATCCATAACTAACCCATTCAATTTAGCTCTCGAACAGATGGCTTTAGTCACAGTTGTAGCCAGATATTGTAATGCTGGGTCCTTGGATCCCAGAGCGTTTAGCTTCGAGACAATTGAAACTAAATCCATGATGAATCTGTCGTCATTGAAAAGCTTAGTAGGTCCATTATTGACAGTCTCTTGTATGAATAATTGAAGAAATAGTCGATGGGTTCGGGAATGTTGACTGTATCGGCTTGTATTCATACAGATGGTATTCTTCTCTAATATATCCATAGCAAAAGAACATAGACGGTATAGCAAGGCTGGACAGGAACTACACAGCTTAACTAAGCTCTTCATGCCGACAGGTAATCCTGACTTCTGTACTGAAGTAATCCAGGCAGTCTTGTAGGAATTAATATCACATGCTACCACTTGACACATCCGAACAAAAATTGGCCGATTATGGAATGGAATAGCCAATGCAACCATTTCAAATGCCAGCCTTTCTTGAATGAAAAAAGCACGACACAGATACTCCAACACTTGCAAACCTTCTAAGGTAACCCAACGGTCTCCTAAAACTCTTATAAAGTCACGCGTTACCGAATCAATCTCATTCAACTTTTCTTCTCTTACAGTTTCTAGCTTCAAAGGCCGACCTTCTCGGAATAGACTTCCATAAAACAAACTGTACTCTGATAAACGTCTATCTGTAGAACAAAGCCTATCCAAAGCGGCAAGACCTTGCGATGCAATAAATTCTCTAATGGAAACAACCCGTAGTACATCATCTTATCACAAACCCAACAGTCATAAACCCAACAGTCATAAACCCAACAGTCGTAAGACTAGTAGTCACAAACAGTAGAGCTGGTTCGTCAGGGGTGTGTGTTTCGTCAGGGGTGTGTGTTTCGTCAGGCGGTGTGTGTTTCGTCAGGGGTGTGTGCTTCGTCAGGTGTGTGTGTTTCGTCAGAGGCTCGGATAAGCTGGCAATTCGCTTGATTCTGGTCAGAGATAGATGTGTTGCTTACAAGCTGTGGGAGTTGGCCTCTACAATGCCATAAAGCAAGGTTCCCTGCTTGGTCATTGGTTTATTGCCGTTAAAATCGAGTGCGGCCCTCGGGCAGGATAGAAAAGACAGAAACACTTGTTGGTTGGAAAAAAGAGAAGTTTAGTGACCGGACTTCTGTTGGTACTTCTCTCTGGAGTAGTACTGGTCCAGAAGTTCCTTTTTGATTTTCTTGAGCATGTCTTCTGGGAAAGTTCTAAGTAGTTCCCAGGCGATGTCGAGAGACTGGAAAATATCTCGGCATTCGTAGGGTCCTTGTGCTAGGAAGCGTGTTTCGAACTTGTCGGTGAATTCGAGGTAGAGTAGGTCATCAGCGCTAAGGGCCTCTTCACCAATGACTGCCTTCATAGCGCGGGTATCCTGGCCAATGGCGTAGTTGGAGTACATTTGGTCAGACACTGCAGGGTGGTCCTCGCGGGTGAAGCCTTTGCCAATACCGGATTTCATGAGACGGGATAGCGAGGGCAACACATTGATGGGTGGGTATATCTGTCTATTATGTAGACCTCTATCCACAAAGATCTGACCCTCTGTAATATACCCGGTTAAGTCCGGAATAGGATGAGTAATATCATCGTTAGGCATCGTTAGAATAGGGAATTGTGTAATGGATCCGTTACGTCCATCAACACGACCAGCGCGTTCATATATAGTTGAAAGATCAGTGTACATATAACCAGGATAACCACGACGACCTGGCACTTCCTCTCTGGCTGCAGATACCTCACGAAGAGAATCGGCGTACGATGACATATCCGTCAAAATGACAAACACGTGTAGATCACGCTCATACGCAAGGTACTCAGCAGTAGTCAACGCAATACGAGGAGTAACAATACGTTCGACAGTAGGATCATTAGCCAAGTTTAAGAACAAGCACACACGTTCCATCGATCCATTCTCCTCGAAGTCTTGTCTAAAGAAACGTGCCGTTTCCATGTTAACACCCATAGCACCAAATACCACAGCAAAGTTCTCATCGGAATGATCCAACACGTCCTTGCCCTGTACTAAACCTGCCTGACGACATATTTGGGCACCCACTTCATTATGTGGCAGACCTGAAGCAGAGAATAATGGGATCTTCTGCCCACGAACAATAGAGTTCATGGTATCAATAGCAGAGATACCTGTCTGAATCATCTCTTTCGGGAATGTACGACAAGCAGGATTAATTGAGGAACCATTTATGTCTAACAAATCCTGAGCTAACACCGCACTGCCCTTATCAATGGGCTTTCCAGACCCATTAAATGTCCGTCCAAGCATATCCTCACTCACTGGCATCCTCATCACGTCACCTGTGAACTCCACATGACACGATCTATTATCAATTCCACTAGTGCCCTCAAAAACTTGCACCACCGCCTTATCACCATTCACTTCCAAAACTTGACCTTCACGCACAGAACCATCACCAAGAGTTATTCTAACGATCTCAGAAGACATAGGGAACTTGACATGATTCAAGATTACGATAGGACCTTCCACACCTAAAAAACTACAACTGTGAGTGAGTGAATGTGATACATACCCTTCACCGTTGAGTAGTCCAATCGGGGCTTGACGTAGTAGTCTCGTGTCACGGCCGCGCGGTGCGCTACGGCCACGCTGCCCTGATCTGTCTGCTTCCCACCGGCCATAGTTATTTACTCGTCACTTCAAAATTAAAAACCTTACCGCACACGTGCGACGTGTCAACCGCGCGTATCAAAGACCTATAAAGTGCACCACTAACCCAGATCTCCCGCTAATCTGTCATCAAAAGGTTTCAGGCACAGGCCCACCCCATTTGGCCGTCATCCTGCCTGGCGATTCTTATTTTGCCCGCAACACACTCCGGAATGACGATCCGACTAGGCGTAAAAACTTCCAGTGACGCTTTCTCGGCCAACTCCCTGGGTTCTCAAGTCGATGAAACGCTTCGAAAAAGCACGACCCACATGAAGTCGGCCACCAAAAATTAGTGACATCACCACCGGAGCCAAAACTTGTCGCTCCGCTTCACTTGGAAAATTAAAACTTGTTGCTGAAGCGGGAGAGCCCCCTTACTCTCGGCATGGAAGAACCGATCGGCAACATATCGTTCTTCTTTCTCCGTCCTGCACAAGGTACTGTTGTACTTCCCACGCCGTGGCGCTTATCACCCCGTACCGGACGTGACTCTCCCCGTAATGTGACATCCCCCTTTCCGGTTGTGCCCCTTTCCGGTTGTGCCCCTTTCCGGGTGTGACATTTTCCCAACATTTTCGTGTGTGGCAGGGTACCAGGGAGTGGACTGCCTTACGTGTGAGGGCCTTACGTGTAAGCAGGCAGGACCCGACGGACGCCAAGGCTATTCCCACCCCGCCAGCCGCAGCAAGGTACATAACTATGTGGGGAGTCGTCCCGTTGATCCGGATTTTTTCTTTAGCTTCCTCTTCTCTCACTGGCTCACCGTCGTCTCTCACTGGCTCACCGTCGTCTCTCACTGGCTCACCGTCGTCTCTCACGGGCTCGCCATCACGACCCACTGGCTCGCCTCCGTCGTCAACCATCTCTTCGTCGGGCTCCCGTCTCTGGGGAGCCATGTCTTCTTCGTCTTCCTCTTCCTCTTCGTCGTCGTCGTCGTCCTCCTCAAACTCGTCATCATCCGGGGGGCGCGCACGGCCATTGTCCTCCTCGGGGGCCTCCACGATTCCAACCCCCTCCGGGCCTTCTTCTGAGATGTGAGTGGTGGAGTCAAACCGAAGTGGAGTGAAACCGACATGGAGTGAAACCGGAGTGGAAAGGAAGGGAGCTTCTTACCATTGTCAGGATGATCTCTTCTTTCAAGAGGCAAATCTTTATTGGCTGCGGCATCGTTCACCGCCTCGCGAGCCGGCTGGTCTCGTCTACGTCTCGCCCGCGCGGCAAATTGCGCTCCGAGGTCTCCGCCAGCAAAACGTCTGCGCCCCGCCTGGTTGTCGTCAAAGTGGACAACGCGCCTCGGGCCACTCTCCTGGCTCACAGCCTTTAACAAGCCGGCTTGCAGCCCACCTTCCAGCCCAGATCCCAGCCCGGATTGCAATCTCGGTGGGCCAGCTTCCGGCCCACCCATCTGGTGGTTCAGCGCCTGCATTTCCTGACGAAACCCCATAAGCTTGTCGTTGTAAAGAGGAGGTCCGCGGTCCGCACCGACCGCCATGCCATTGCCGATCGCCACGTCATTGCCGACGGCCACTAGACCGTTGTCTGCCACTAGGCCGTCAGCAACTGGGGGGCCGTTAGCAGCTGGGCCGTTCGCTGCTAGGCCGTTCTCGATGTCGGACTCCCGGTAGGACTCTGCGTCGGGAATTTCGAGAGCCGGCTGCTGCGCAAATTCTCGTGACGGTACAGGTGCGGGTTCGAAGCTCGCTGCCACAGGAGGCGCCTCCTCCCGCCCGTCAAACAGCCACAAAGCGCTGGCACTCGCAACGGCGAGTGTCAATCTCAACATACAAAAATTAGCTGACCAAAATTCGGCTCTTCATACAAGCCAGCAATCTTGGGAGAGGAACCATCGACGTAACGCTGGTCTCTCCCTCACCTAGGCTCTGCAATAATAGACTGAACCGGGACGGACTCTACCACGGGCGGACTCTACGCATTAATGGGATGAACAACTTAAGGGAAGCGAGCAAACGGTAGCGAAGGACCACTACACCGCGACCACTGAAAGCTTCCGACCCTCTCGGCAGCGGGTTTCCGGGCCGAGCAGGCTACTCAGAATTAAATTCAACGTGGCGCTGGCCAGAAAATATTCCAGCCGGTCGCAGAAGAATGCCCGGCCCATATAAACGTTCTCTTGAGGACGCAGGATGCCCCCAAAAGGGATGCCCCTTGGACGCGTCGGAGGAGCGGACTATTACGGAGGAGTCGGTAACGGGCGCGGCGCCAACAGGCGTGGCGCCCGTGGGCATTGAGAGAGCCAAGAGACGACGCTCCGATTTTCCCCCAAATGTCCCGGAGGAGTGCGAGAAGACGGCTGTTTCACCGATGACGGTCACGCCAGCCACGGTCACCCCGGCGTCGGTGGTTACTTCGGACACGATCACGCCAGCGACGATAGTTCCGCGGGATGTCGTGCCGGTTTGTTCGGTGTACAAGGGACGGGCGTCGTCGTTTACGTTGCGGATGGTGGACGGTCGTGCGCGGCGGGGCACGTTGGAGTTGCCGCACGCGCGTGTGGAGACGCCTTGCTTCATGCCAGTGGGTACGAACGGGCCAATGAAGATGATTTTGTCGGAGAGGATGGAGAGGTTGGGCCCGTCATTAATGTTGAACAACACATACCACTTGGGTGCTCGGTTAGGTCGGGAGTTGTTGACTCATTTTGGCGGTACACACACGATGATGCAATGGGACGGAGGACTGTTAACGGACTCCGGTGGATTCCAGATGGTTTCATTACTTAAGCTGGCACGGATAACAGAAGAGGGTGTGGAATTTGAGCACCCCAGTACTCGAGAGAAGATGTTGCTTACACCGGAAGAGTCAATTGCTATTCAGAACGCAATTGGTGCTGATGTTATGATGGCTCTAGATGATGTTATTTCAGCTGTAGATGACGATCGGAAACGTTTCGAAATTAGTGTGGGACGAACCACGCGATGGCTCCATCGTTGTATGGCGGCTAACGCGCGACCGGACGAGCAAAATCTTTGGGGCATCGTTCAAGGTGGGCTGTACGCCGATCTGCGAGAAGAAAGTTTAAAACAGCTCCGAGACCTTGACCTACCCGGTTTCGCTATTGGTGGCCTTTCAGGGGGAGAATCTAAAGCCCAGTTCGCTGAAATGGTCGAACTCTGTACCCGTAGATACGGTCAGGGACTTCCCGAACACAAAAGCAGGTATCTCATGGGCGTCGGATACCCTTTGGACATTGTCGTCTGTGTCGCACTTGGCTGCGACCTTTTCGACTGCGTCTTTCCCACACGTACCGCACGCTTCGGAGTCGCTCTCGCCGACGAAGGACACATCCGACTTAAAAACAATGCCTACCGCACCGATCCCAGACCCGTTGACGAAACCTGCGACTGCTACATGTGCCAACACTTCACCCGCGCCTTCATTCACGCTACCATCGCCTCCGTAAGCACACACTGCACACACACATGGATGTGCGCCCTCGTGCTTGGTCACCCACTTATTGTATTACTGTGGTGACACACACATGTGTACTTGCTGCTAACTCACAATTTATTGCAGTCACCATCAACGTTGAGCATGATTTCCGAACATAATATTCGCTACTTACATAATCTGGGCGTTAGGATGCGCACCGCCATCGAACAAAAGAACTACTCTGGGTTCGTCCGTGATTTCCTTGCCAAGCAGTTTCCCCCCGCGGAGGACCGGTTCCCGCCCATTTGGGTCCGTGGCGCACTCAGGCAGGTCATGCCCGAAGTTGAGTCGTGGTACTCTTGGGACTCCCTGACCCCTGCACAGATCGAAGCGATGCAGAAAGACGAAAAGTGCGGCAGCCATTCGCACACGGAATTCCAACCGCGCTGCACTGCTGCAGTTGAAGGCGACGCGGGCAACCAGTCCTGATTATCTGGTCGCCATGCACTGTCTAGACTCTCTAGTCGTCGCCACGTCGGCCTGGAGACCAGACGACATAAGTGGAAACGACGGCGTAAGTGGAAACGACGGCGTAAGTGGAAACGACGGCGTAAGTGGAAACGACGGCGCAAGTGGAAACGACGGCGCAAGTGGAAACGACGGCGCAAGTGGAAACGGAGTTGCATGTCTTAGATCTAATGTCCAATGGGACCAGTACGTATGGGGGTCAGAGTGGGTGGGGGTCAGTGGGTGGTACGTATGCGGTCAGTGGGTGGTACGTATGCGGGTCAGTGGGTGGTCTTGGCAGGTTGCGATGTCGGAAGAGGGTGGTTTTCTGATAAAGGAGTTTTTTAAGTAGTCTCTGGAAATGGTGGACCAGATGCGTCGCATGATGAGCCAGTATGTGCAGAGGAATTCGATAGACGTGGAGCGGTTGTTGTCTGTGAACGGCGAGGGGGCAGAGGAAGAAACCCGGCAGCCAGGATTGGGCCCTTTTGTCGGTACGAAGAAGGAGGGTGCGAGTCTGAGAGAGAAGCAAGTGTTGATGCGTGCTCGTCATCAGCGGTCATTTGCGGCGATGCTGATGGGTGCCCGGAGAGACCAAAAGGTGGAAGAGATGAAGGCTGCGTCGGTGCCGAAGGGCTCGTTTGAGGAGAAGAGTCGTAAGTCTGAGGTGGCTGCCAGTATTAAAGACCTCAAGTTACCTTGGGGCGTTTACGACAGCACATCGTTCTTCTGTGCCTGCGCGGCGTGCATCTCGAACCGCGAGACGCAGATCAAAGCGGACAAGTGGTGGTTGGCTGGAGAGAAGGACCGAGCCCTTTCGTACACATTAAAACCCTGTCTGCGACTACTCCCCATTTCTCATAACAGCATTGCACGCCGTAAGTACAGACCCCGTCTGCCCAAAAAGGTCGACCACAAAGCGGCGTTGTGGAAGGCAATTGACGGGGTCGCCTTCAACGAAGATTTCGGCGGTGAGACCGCTGCCAGCAGTCCCGAACCGGGAAAGGCCGCGCCCTCAAGAGCTGTGCTTTCCACTAGAAAGAGCATCGATCATGATATCGACGGCTACGAGACGATCGACCGTGCAATCGAACGCACAGAGGCGCAGCTGCGACGCATGGTAGGCAGTGCTGACTGGACGGCGGAGGTGGTCGTTATTGTAACCTCGCTAACCACAAGCCGCGAGAGCTACCAAGAGTCGTATCGCCTCCTCCGATTCTTTGAGGCCAAGGGTGTAGACCACATCGCGGTTGACGTCAATGGAGATATTGGACACGACTCCGTGGACTACAAGCTACTCAGAAAGTGGCACAACGAGGAAACCCTACTCGTTGACTCCAACAAACTCGCCGACAAGGTCACGCTGCCGATTGTTGTGCCCCAGGTTCTCATCGACGGCGTTCCCGTCGGACCTATTGATGAAATCATGTCCCTCGAAGACGAAAACGATTTGGACTATATCCTCGCGCAAGCGGCCTGTCCAAACTGCCTGGTAAACCGACGCGCGTCCGCCGGACACTGCAGCAGGTGCTCTGCTCTATTCAGGAACCTCATTTCACTCAAATATTTGACTCCTCCTGAGATCAAACTCCTACTCACCAGAAGCGAGAAGAACGCCTATCATATCAAAGCACCGACTCCCTACGACTGGGAGAAACGCAGGAGACAACTCGGCATCCGGTCTGGCAACGAGGACGCATCCACTTGGTTCAAACCCGATTGTTTGGCCAAGTACGGCCACCCTTCGCCGGGATTTTGTGTTGACTTCAATTGATCACAACGCAGGTATTTTCCTTTTGTTTTTTTGTATCGCGGCACAGAGCCGAAAACTATGTCTAATTCCAGCGCAGCACACGCGTGTGCACACGCCCCAAGTACCCCTATGCATGTACGTTGGATCGCCATACAGTTTCTTTGGGCCACTCGCGTAGAGGGCGACGAGCCCAGCTTGCATAATGGGGCATCCTTTCCTGGAATGTCCGAACCTGAGGTTCCTACAGCGCCTGAGAAACCCAAACCCGTAGGGAATAGAGGATCTGGCTCCCAAAAGGCTGGTAGCGCCGAGGAGGTTGCTCCCTGGGAAAGCGTAGTGAAATTCCCGGCCATACCTCGTTGTCCGCTAACAACGTGGTTGGGTGATGCTTTTTGGGATCCCTTAAGGCAGAAATGTATACACCTGAACCGCGCAAACCAGACACTGCCGCACACTGCTCCTTGTCCCCCGGGCAGTGGTAGACGAGATGATGAATTGACTTGCCGGGGACGAATCGAAACAGGGTTTCAGATAAAATGCAAGCATGCTTGGGATGTGGTGCCGGCAAAGCCCTATTATGCCAACGAGGACTACCAATGCATTCAGGTCTTGGTTTACGACGCCATGCGTCAATTCCGTTGTCCGAAAGGGTTTCAGCTGAAGAAGTTGTATGACAGGACAGGTTACCGGATTGAATGGTTCAAGTACACGTGCGTGCAGAAAATGTCGATCCCCGCTCACGTAGTAACGTTTGATCCCCTAATCATCTCCAACTGCGTTTACGTCAGTGGCGCACCGAAACTGAAGGACCACGACCTGGACCAGATTTCCGACGAGGAAGTACTGGACGACTACGACGACGACCTAGCGTCGTCGACTGCATTTACTCCGCGAATGAGGTCAGAACAAGGCGCGGAAGGTTTTGAATCGGACCCCACCACTTCAGCGCCGTGGAGTGCCGATGGCAGTAGCGTAGACCGCAGCGGTAACGCTTCGGGCTCTGGCGCTTCGGGCTCTAACGCTTCGGAGCCGAGTTTAGGGCGAAAAAGTTTGCAGCCAAAAGGGATGGAGGAGGATCGGTTCATTGACGGTTCGGAACGGCGTGCTGCGGATCGGAGTCCGTATTACCGGTACCTGCACAACAACACTTACGCGCCGTTGGACCAGTACAACTTTTACGGCGACCCTTATGGTCGCATCGACCGGGACGGCCACGTCCAGACGTACGGAACGGGCCAGCTTGCGGGAGGGCAGCCACCCCGACGAAGCCAGATCCCTGGGGCTCAGGGCCGAGGGGGTCAGAGTCGTGGGCGTGGCGGCGAGTGCACAGTGACAAAGACGCAGCAGTTGGTATTGTGTGATTATGGTGACAGGTTGATGTGGAACGATGAGCGGGAGCAATGGGACTGTGTAGGGAAGCGTTGGGTGAAGCCGGATCCGGACCCATCGGGGTGCAAGAAGGGACACTACTGGAGCAACGAGTTCATGGGTTGCATCCAAATGAGGGCATACAGTCCCCCACGGATGTGTCCGGACGGTGTGGAAGGACACGTGTGGGAGCGTGAAGGAGGCGCTCGCCGTTACAGTCGTGGACCCCGCTACCGTGATGTAGCAGCCTCCTATCCCCCGGAGGCGAGCGCCACGAACCTAACTGCTCTCAACGATCCTTCACTAACCACGACCCGGGCACCGGCTACAACCCCCGCGCGGCGTGCCCCCAATCCCCCTCCCTCGAGTCCGACGGCTTGGCAGAATCAGGACACACAACCCAGCACTGGCGGCCAGGCACGACACCGTCGAACCCAACGTCGCAGCGAAGGGGCCCCCGGCATCGGCATCGATAGCGAAGCTGCCGACGGCTCCGATCCGGAAGAGCTCCAGTCCCCTGGAGCGGGTTCTGGTCCTGGTCGTTTTGGCTTTGATCCTGGTCTTGGTCTCCCTCCTCGTCGGGCGGGTGGTGGTGAAGATGATAGCGGATCGGGATTGCGGCGGGTGGAGTTGTCACCGAGTGTGTTGCTGGACTCTGGTCGCGGGGGCCGGCGGGGTCGCGAGACCGGCTATTCGGTAGAGGACTTTGCGGGTACGGGATTTGATCCATTCCGCTTAGAGGAGGTTCGGTTTGCACACGGTGTGGCGGCAAATAACCGTTGCTACATCGATTCAGCATTAGCGGACACAAGTTACTGTCCGCATGGGTATTGGTTGGAGCAATACCATCGCGACCCAGCGCCGTTGTGCATTCAGGAGTTGGTCTCGGAACCGCTCTGGGACTGTCGTGGAATGGGAGACACGTGGGGGTTGGAGGCGGAGCTGGTCCACGAACACGGTGAGACCGTCTGTCTGTTACGCTGGGATGCACGCCAAGCTGTATCGGTGCCTGAAGCACTCACCAAACGGCAAAAAAAGAACGCCCTTGCACTCGCCTCCAAAAGCGGTATGAACTTGGCCCAGTACGACCAAACCGCTGACACCATGGACATGTGGCTTCTCGGTAAAGATATACACAACAGCGGCAAGGAAAGCTGGGATGCTGCCATTCGTGCTGCCCTACAACTCCTTAATCCCCACGACACCTTCAGCCCGTATACCGCGCCCCTCACTCAAGGCGGCTTTGAAGTCGCCGGCCTCTCCGGACCCCAAGGCGCCATTTAGACCCTTGGGTGGTCCATCCCCTTGGGGGTCCATCCCCTTGGGGGTCCATCCCCTTGGAGGTCCATCCCCTTGGAGGTCAATCCCCTTGGGGGTCAGGCTTGCTTCAGGTCCACGGCACGGTGGATACCGGTTACATAACTTCCTGGCTGGCGAGTGCGGGTTCCTCCTTGACCTGGCCGCTGGTGAAGAGTTGTTTACCCGTTGGCCTGGAGTCCACGAGGTCTACGTCCTTCCACTTGCCTGAGTTGATCATTTCGTGTTTGAAATGCGCTTTCCACTCTAAAAACTGCTGCTCCGTGACGCGGTAGTCCGGCTGCACCACCTCCTTGTCAGCAAGACGGCCTGCATCTGGGTCGACATCACTGTCGCTGTGATCGCGGTCGGAAGACGAGTCGAAACATGGCACTTCGATCACGTTCTCAAGAACCTTGCTCGTGCCACTAGCCCCCTGCATTTTGTCGTGCACCGACAGGATCTCCGTGTTATGTTCCTGTAAATACGTGGTCAACTCCGTATATAGGTCATATAGCATTTCGAAACCCTGGTGCGTCTCCACTAGATTATTTACCAGACCACGAATCTCCGATCGCCGCACATCGTCAATATTTCTCTCTACAGATAGACGGCCATACGTGTGTTCTACGTGGCACACAAGTGTGTTCTACGTGGCACACAAGTGTCTGCTACGTGGCACACACGTGTGTTCTACGTGGCACACACGTGTGTGCTACGTTGTAACATCGTGTATGTTGTAACATTGTGTATGAATTATATTCAGTGATGAATGCTGTGTATTGTAATGCCAGTTGTTGTGATGATGCCAGGTACTTACCGTTCAAGTAAGATATTTGTGGAACTGTATCCGGATAGTTCTCCAGGCCGGATAAGGTTAGAGTTACTTGGACAATATTATGCTCCGGGTTTCCGGGATACGGTACCAGAGGCAGTGTTAAGGTGCCGTCGTCTTTTGCTTGACATGAAAAGTCTTCGAATATCGTCTTAATGGATTCTATTTCTGCTGTTAAGGTATCATTCATTTTATATAGGGAAAAATCCGCGGCCTTGTCAGCAACGGCCTTGTCAGCAATGGCCTTGTCAGCAATGGCCTCGGCATTGAACCTCTAGGCAAAGCATTGGAAGTTTAAAGGTGTTCCTCGAGCATGAGTTTCTTATATAATTGGTCAGAGTCGGATGCTGAAAGTTGTTTGACTTGACGAATTGATTTGTTCAAGAAGTCTCTGAAAGAGACTAATATTGAGGCAACATATACAGTATATTTGTCGAATTGCTTATTTCCTATTCTTTCATCTGTTTGAAGTCCACGAAATTCCCAAACCATCCAAATCCTGGATTCCCTTACGGCTCTTGTAATGCCTTTGGGTGGAGTTAGAAGTAGCTTAACTGTCCACTTGCCAATGTTATTCTTCCTTATTCGACAGGTATGAATGTGTTTACATACCCACGCAGCATACACCCTCTCTTCCAGTGTAGCCAAGCTTTCACTTAACACAACTTGAATTATATTATGGGCAGCATTCTTTACAATATGAACTCTTTCACTCGGTCTCAATAGATAACCCACTAGACTGGATGACCGCGCATCCGTAGCCGTACAAAGCCAGCGGTACATTATACTCCTCAGGTATAAATGACCTGCTATCGAACAGTCATGAGCCAAAGCACTCTTCTGTCGATCATTCAGCTTTTCCCTCAAAGCAAACGGAATCTGGACTCCTAACAACACATTTAATCCTCTCAGTCTCTCGTTTTGATCCGCTGCCCGTGACAGTAACCTCTCTAACTTCCTCCAACGAATGTCACTAGGAAGTATGAGCAAATCTCGAAACGACCACCTCAACAAATCTAGAAAACATTAATTCAGATACAATGGTAGGGTGATAGTAGCCGCTAATGTGCCCTCAGAACTGTGTAAAGTAAAGTGACGGACGGTGTATAGTAAACTGACGGACGGTGTATAGTAAAGTGACGGACGGTGTATAGTAAAGTGACGGACGGTGTATAGTAAAGTGACGGACGGTGTATAGTAAAGTGACGGACGGTGTATAGTAAAGTGACGGACGGTGTATAGTAAGTGACGGACGGTGTATAGTAAAGTGACGG